GCAGATATCCAATTCCCTGCTTGATCTTTAGACGTAGTCCATTCTCAAACTTAATTCACTTTGACACTTCAGCTGCTGGGTCATTATAATGCTGACAAAATTTCATCAGTTCCTCATACCTAGCCCCATACTCAGCATTTGTTGAACTTCCTTGATTTAGCTTAAGGAACTCGATCTCCTTCTTTCCATGCACATCTTTCGGAAATTACTTATCCAGAAAAGGATTCCTGAACACAACCCAAGTAATCACTGTACCCAGAATCTCCATTCTCTGGCGCTCATTATTCCACCAGCCATCGGCTTCTTCTTCCAACACGTGCATGCTAAACTGCACCTTCTGGTCTTCCTTGTATAACACTACCCAGAAAATCTTTTCAATCCCCTTAAGCCATACTTGCACACCATTTGAATCATGTGTGCCTTTGTAGATCGATGGGTTTCTCCTCTGAAACTTCCCTCATGCACGAGTTTCATCCCCATTTCCTCTATTTTGGTTCTGATGACCATGCTGGTTTTATTGTGCTTGAGCCATGGCTTCCAAAGCATTAGAAATAGCATTATCATTTCTCCCTCCAACCATAACTATGCGCATAGACAACCAACATTAGAAATGTTAACATATTAACAATATCCAAGTATTGATCGACCAACAGGAGGTAGACATCATATAAAACCTGGTCGAACGGACCGACCTACTCTGATACCACTAATGTAACATCCTTCTAAAACCCCACGAATCAGAGTATTTCACCAAAAAGGCGTCACATACTTCATAAAACATCATACATGCATGTCTTACTCCGTAACACAGGTTTTTAAACAATTATAAAACATTTACTACACATCAGAATTCATAGTTCAAAACATCTTTATTAAACACATCATCAATACTTCGTTGTTCATGGTTCATAATTCGAAACAACTTAAATATTGTGGTAGGTAGTTCAAAGTCTCATAATAAAACAAAGAACATAGACTTCAAAATTAAACATTCCCGACCCCGATGTTACATATCAGAGCAAGACCTTCTAAAAATCAACGGAAAGAAAACAACACACTCCGATCTATCTTCTAAGCTCTTACGAACTACTCCTGATCACCCGCGCATTACCCACGTGGAGGCAATATTCAAACAGAAAGGGTGAGTAACCACATTCATTACAAAAGATATACAAAATCAACATAGTAGTTCAAACATCAACAATCTAGCATCAAAATCAATAACATTGTCAACACATTGTCAATTAGCACAACAACATATACAACATCATCTAGTCATCAATTATGCAATGCCACATAAGATGTAATATAATAACATAAACTCATGCATGTGGTACCAATTCGTTATAAGTACTGGACTCATCACCCTCCAAATATCCCAACCATAGGATCAATTCCCTCTTGGAACCGGAGCACAACATCAACACACTCAATCCACACAATAGGGTTAAGGCCAACACTGCACCAACGTCCTAAATTAACATGGGCAGACCAAAGCTGTCCAAATATGTCATGAATGTATGATGCACAAGCACAAAATATCAAACGACTACAACTAGTCAAATTGCATCATCATTCATGAAATCATCAACATCATTCAATATATCATAGTCACAACAGTTACCATCATATAATTCACAATTCATCATAACAACACACATCATGATAGACTACCTCATTAAGAATATAAGTCTACCTTAGCCTAGGTACTATAAGTATACATATTTTTACTCACTTTATTCCACCCAGATGTAGTTCACCGTGTTAGCTATTCAACGCTTTTAATTGCGCCTTAAAAAGAGTTCTAAAACTCAAATTATGGCCCTTTAAAATTCCTATTGCTGTCTGTCGCCTGGTGCTCGCCCGACGAAGTAGTTTGCTTGCCTATGGCTCGCCCAATGACATGGGAGCGACAACACCATCATTCTCCTCTGGTCTCCATTGTCCGACGAAGCTTCTTGCTCACCTGGCAATGAACAACTTGCTCCTACATCTCTCGACGATGCGCGAGCGAGGTGACCTTCTCCATACAAAATCCAGGAGAACCACTTTTCCCCATTCCTTCTCTTCTTAGCTCGCCCGGAAACGACCAGGCGATGTTTCCTCATCCAACGATGCATCCCTTCGCCCGACGACGCGTAACAGACCGCAACTTCCTGTCGCGATTCTGCACATGTTCATCCCTAATTCTTCTTGTAATTTCATACCATTACAATCTAGATTTTTCATATTTTTCAACATGGAATCGTCATAGTACAACCACACAATACTATAGTAATCATATACACAAACTCATGGTAAATCAACATGGTATTTTGTTCAATTTCAACATGATTTCATTATAAATGCAACAATCTTTAAATCATCATAACCCTAATCAAATCCCTACATACCTCTAAAACCCATATCAATTATAATAACAAATCACCCCTCTTACCTTAGATTCCTAGCTCGGGTCTCTTCTCTTCGAGATCTACCGAAATTCCTCTGTGTTCTTCGTGCTCTAACTTTCTCTCTGCCCTTCCAGTGTTTTCACGATCGTACCAAATGAAATATTTTCCCTTATTCCTTGTTTAACCTTTGGACTCCTAATATGTTTTGCCCAACTTGTCCTCACTTACCTTCACCAATTACCATCTTGCCCTTATCTTCTCTACATCAATTATTCCTCTATTTTATTATTAATAATAATTCTAACAAATTTTAAATAATTATTAACTAATTATCTAATTATCTAATTACTAGAATACTCCTTACTCATCTAAATTCCTATTATCCCACAACATATCAACTCATCACACATCATACTCAACAAATCATCATATATTCATCAATAATTCAGAAATACTCATAATTCACTAATTAAATAAGTAATTACGAATTTTTGGGGTGTTACACATCACAACAACATCGTTAATTATTCCAAATCAATCAAAGTAATTCTTGAAATCACTCTCGGTAACTGTGGATGCTAGACCTCCAACAAATATCTTCTTTATGCGTATAGGAGTAGGATCCGACGACCCACGACTGTTGTTGTTGCTTCTGCTAAATATATTCTGATCATCTATAAGGACAATTTCTTTTTCCTTAACCTGCACGATGACAGTAAAACTCAATTAAACACTAAAAGAGTTATAAATAAGCAGTGCGCTATAGAATTCATAGACTACGAAAGAGAAGTAATTGCTGATCAAGATATGGAATCACATGGAAATTGCATATCTTCAAGGAATACTCTGATGTCTCTGTCAGCTTACAGAAACAAATGTTTCTCAATGCATGTTTTCCAATACAATGTTATTTTTGGAATAACTATCGTATAAGATCAAATTTTTTTACTACACCAATTTAGGTAATTATGATATTTGTCAAGTGTTGCATGATGTTCTACCATTTTCAAGTGAAAAGAAGGTATCCGATGAACCGGGCTCCTTGAACTTGAGTCTCAACCGATTGGATCCAAAGCTACGATCTAAACTGGTAGAAACTTGTGAAGTTCAAGTGTACTCCATGTAATAATAAATAGAGGATGAACAAACACTGTTTGGCCTCCCAGAGCTTACAAATGATATATCTGTATCTGATTCTGTGATGTCCATGCGTTTCATTCCACTGGTGCCACTTCCTGCTCTTCCAAATGCAGACATGCAGGAAACCAAACCATTTTATCTTTATATAGAACCATTCATCAGAGAAAAGGGAGAACCATATATGCTTGGAATTGTTTTCCTAAAAGAATACTTACTTCATAGATTCATCATGCCAACCATGATGCTTCATTGACGAACCCTCTATTGCATACTTAGCAAATATACATGTTATCAAGCCATAACTAAAATAAATAGGTTAATTTTTTTAATATACAAAAAGAAGATAAAAATATCTCAAATTCATACGTCTAGAGCATATATGCTCCACAGGTTGATAAGTTAAAAAATTAAAACACTGCTAAGCCAAAATATCCATGTGCTTTGTAATACCTCTTTTTTTAGTCACCTGTTTCAATATACTTTGATTGCAATTCTCTCTAAAACATCATAAAACCACTATACTTTTATGATACATTGCTTGAAAAGTCATCTAAATAAATATTTGCATACTAATCTCGTGATGTCTATGCATTGCTCTTACAAGTGTTTAACATAACTTGTAACATATGGAAGACAATAGAGATGTATACAACCGTGAAAGGTATTCCAACATCTTTTATTTTCATGACTAATACACTTTTAGTATAAATCTAATTCAATGCATAAAATGTTGGAATACCCAGATTCGCATCTGGTTTAAAATAAAACTCTTAAATTCTAATTCAAGGACAATAAAATGTTAGAATACCCAAATATAAAGTCTTCAAAAAAAGGAGACTTATCTGAATTCAAATACCAATGTCAGACACTTATCACACTTCAACATGCATTAACAAAGACCAAAACCAGTTTAATATACAACTCTACATAAACCATACATCATGAACATCAATTTCAAGATAATAGTTCACATTTCACACTAACTCAAATCCGTGACAGTCATCAAACTCAGAATTTAATTAAGCTCTCACGGTAACAACAACAAATAACACCACACAAACGAAATAAAAGCAAAAGAAAGAAGGAGAATCATAGCTGAAATAAAAGGGAAGAGGAGATCCGCGTTTTACCGAAATCTACAACAACAACACAAAATATTATCAACAACATAATTGTCGGTGTTTCGTAGATCTAAGCTGAGATGGATACAAGTATTATTCTTGTCACACACATTGAAAAACAGATCACAAATAAAATATATAAATACGAAAACATAATTAAAAATGACCAGAAACCCTAAAATTGAAACCAACTGGAAATTCTTTCAGCACTTAATCTTTTTGCATACGATCATCAACATAATGCTTCTTCTCTTTCACTCTTCTTGATTCCGTCGTCTAGTTTATTAGATTTCTTTCTTTTATCTTATTCAATCAATTTGTTGTTCAAAAAATTGATTTTGGGTTTTCAAAATGAAAGAATATGGAGGAAGGAGAGAGAAATGAAATGTGAATTGAGAAAGAAAGAAGAAGAAGAGAGGAAGTCGACGAGAGAAGAATGAAAGATGGGACGATTGTAGAGTAACAAATGTTGAAACCGTTTTTGCAGATGGAATATGGAATAGTAAGGGCTATGCGAAACTGTCATATCTTTCATGTTGGTAACGGCCGTAGAGAAGGAAGAGAAAGAGTTGGAATCGGTAGTGTTTGGAATCAGAAAAATGTAAGAAATAACAAACATTATGCAATTGGATTTTTTTCCAACAAAACAAAAGGTGAATGCTGAGGCCAACCGAGTGGCAGTGTGTGGAGTCAGAAGGGCATTTTTGTATTTAACAGAACAATAACCTTTCTTATTTGATATATTTTTTTAATTATTGACTTTGTGCCCAACCACTATTGGAATTTTTTTTATTAATAACCAAGTATTAAAATAATATTTCGCAAATAATCGGGTTTCGGAAAAAATTACGCAAATAACCATGTTTGAGATGGCTCCACAAAGGAGGAGCCATCTCATTTGGCGCATGCTCCTCTTTTTTAAAGGGAGGCGCCATCTCACTTGGCGCCTAAGTGCTTAGGGCAAGCCCTAAGCCAAGTGAGATGGCGCCTATGTAGAAAATTAGGTCAAAAAAAATTTTTTTTTCTTTCCTGCGCGTTGCGTATTAGACAGAGATAAACAAAATGGATTTTTTATTTAAAAAAAAATAATTACATTCAACTGTTTTACATTTAAAGAACAGTAAAAAAATGGATAAAAAAAATACTGGGAAAAAAAAAGATACATCAGTGATCCCCAGGAACCCGGTAATTACCCCCAGTTCCGCATCCCCGTCCTCGCCTTTCTCTTGCTGGGTGCCGTCTCGTTTCCTACTGCGGCAAGGTCGATGGCCCAGCGAAGTCAATGCGATCCGAATCCATAAAATCAGTAAGATCTCCATATCTCGAAGATCCGCTCTGGTACAGTCGGTTACCCATACCCTCGAAGTTTGGTCGTGTTGGCGGTGGGTGGGGTTCCATGGTTGGTCGGTAGCATTGGTCGTCTGAGTATGGGGGTAGAAAGGAAATGGATCTTGGGGTGTTTGGTATTGTGGATGTTGGGTTGTTTGGTGATATGGTGGTTGATGGTAGGTTTGGTCGGCTTGGTCATAATCTTCTGACATTCCCATATCAGGGCTAAGGCTGGATGTTGAGGGCGCCATATTGGGATATGTGGAAGACTGAAATTGTGTATGGGGTATGTGGGTTTGCTGGTATTGGGGTTGGTATTGTGGTTGGGTTTGAGGCATATCCGGGTATTGGTAGTTTGGCGGTGATTGTGGTTGGTAGTACGGCATTTGATTGTAGTTGTGTTGTGGTGGGGAATGTGGTTGTGTGTTTGTTGGTCTGTTTCTTCTTGGGGGTTGGTTTGAGGTTGATGGATTTTGGGTTTGTTGGTGGGGAATCGAGGGTTGTGCCCATTGTGTGCGTGGGTCAACCAAGTACCTCGGATGAGACACGTGCATATCTGGGTTACTAACCGACCTGTACCACGGTATATATTGATCGGTGTGTCGCATGTTACCTTGAGTAAGGAAAACCAGGGATTGCAAGATGTAGCGGTGACGCCTTTGCCACATTTTACACCATTCTGGAGCAAAGTCTTTCCAGTTGGTAAGACCCCACTGGGCGTCGACCCTTTTTAGATGTCAGGGGGACAAATCTGTTGGATCACTTGGTATCTCTTGGATCATTCCGAACTGCATCTTCACACGGTCGCTGTGGTGCATCTCCACAATGTTGAACCGAATGAGTGCAGTCTTTGCAGTCCAAGTTGCTGCATCCTCTGGATTTGGAGAATGGTCCAAACCCAAATATGGTCTCCAGACGAACTGCGATAAAATTTAAATCAGGTAAGCGCAAAAGTAATGTATAAATAATTAAAATGAACAAAAGTTAAAAGCTACGACGTACGTCATCTGGGCCTAAGTGATCCAAGAGATTCCGGTAGAGTGCGACATTGAATCTGAGATTCTTGCCGTAATCCATACCCATCACGCAGTACCTAAAGGAAATGAGAAACATGTTATTTTTAGCATATATTTTGGAAAGAGAAGAATAGTTATAAATGCTATAACTTAATGACTTACTTTGTTGCGTAAGGGAAACCAAAAGTGTTATTGTTGATGGGGTTTAAGGACTCCATCCTCCACCAACCCCAGGCTTGTAGTAAAAATGCGCACCCATAAAATGTACATTTTTCCTTGACTGCGTTTTTGCACAAGGAACTGTACGGGTGGGCTAATACTGCAGAACCCCAACTATATTTTGTAGTTTTATCAAAATTTGTTAGTAAATGTAAGTACATGAAATTTACACTATTTCCCGTACTTTCGGGAAATAAAAATGTACCAAAAAGTATCATAATATACGTTCTGGCTTTTACTACTCGGTCATTCTCTGAGGAATTTTCATTTAATTCCATACTTGCATAATGCCGTTTCAGGTCAGTGAGTAGTATTCCCTGCCCTCTTGCTCCACCACCTTCTACCATGTCCCTACCCAACAGTTCTTCACACTGTGAGTTGGGTTGTTGAACCGACCCGTTCACCGCCTTACCGTCGATAGGGAGGCCCAGTAGCATGTACACATCTTCGAGAGTGATGGTACATTCACCTATTGGTAGGTGAAATGTATGGGTCTCCGGTCTCCACCTCCCAACATTGCAAGAATGAATTTTGAGTCAATGGTGCAGTTGGAGATCTTTATCACGTGTCCAAAACCTGCATATTCCAGATAAGGGACGATAAATGGGTCGGGAGCCAGGTATTTGTGCGAACGGATTCTGAATCTTTGTGTATCCTGAGATCATAATTAAACAAGAGTAAGATTAATTAAGATGAACAACACGTTATTTGAAGTATGAAAAATGTATAACCAAAGAAGAGACTTACAAATGCAGCAATGTTTTCCCTTGTGCCTCTGTGAGTATCTCCCATTGTTAGAAGGGCCATTGTTCAGAATGCTTGAGAGAATGAAAGACTTAGGAAGAAATAGAGAGTATGATAGACTTAAGAAATATTTCGTAGCAGAGAGTGAGAGTTGTATGGGTGTGAGAGATGTTTCATAAGGTATGTATTTATAGGCAAATAAGTTTGATGTAGTGGTTGCATGCCTGCGATGTGTCACATTTGCATGCTTAGGGTGTTACACATATGCATGCATGCATTTACAAAAAATGTAAGGTGTCACTCTTGCAGGCTAGGTGGCAGCCCATGCATGTATCACGATTGGACAGTAAGGGAGGCGCCATCTCACTTGGCGAAATAGTACAAAAATGAATGGTGTCGCCACCCCATTTGGCGAATAAGAGGTGTCACGTTTTACAGCATTGGCTCAGGCTACGTGACAGCCTTTGGGATTCCTTTCTTTGTTGCATGCAAGGCCATTGGAGTTGATGGGTGGAGTCTTACACAAAACATTTATGTGTGCAGAATAGGGCCAGGCTAGGTGGTAGGCTAGGTGGCAGCATAAGCCCATGCATGTATCACGATTGGACAGTAAGGGAGGCGCCATCTCACTTGGCGAAATAGTACAAAAATGTATGGTGTCGCCACCCCATTTGGCGAATAAGAGGTGTCACGTTTTACAGCATTGGCTCAGGCTACGTGACAGCCTTTGGGATTCCTTTCTTTATTGCATGCAAGGCCATTGGAGTTGATGGGTGGCAGGCTAGGTGGGTGCAAGGCCATTGTAAGTTCCACTCAATCACAAGACCACCGAAAACTCAACCATGATCTAATCTGTCAAGAAATCCTACCCCTGGTCAGCAACGACCCTTCTTTGAAGGTGAAAACAATCATCTCCCACATCACCACGGTTTTTAACTACACTCCGTCTTACCGTAAGGCGTGGTTAGCAAAGACTAAGGCGATTGAAAGGGTGTACGGAAACTGGGAGGAGTCATACCGAGAACTTCCCCGCTACCTAAATGCACTCAAGACATATTCTCCAGGTAGTGTTTATGTTCTGGAAACATTGCCAGCGTACGCCCAAGATGGTAGTCTACTACATGGCAACGGAATATTCAGTCGCGTCTTTTGGGCATTTCAACCATGCATCACAGGGTTTGCATCATGCAAACCAATTCTACAAATAGACGGGACTTGGTTGTATGGGAAGTACAAAGGCACGCTTTTGATGGCAGTTGCACAAGATGGCAACAATAACATTTTCCCCGTTGCGTTTGCCCTTGTCGAGGGGGAGACTGGTGGTGCTTGGAACTTTTTCCTGAAAAATCTTCGTACACACGTGGCTCCTCAACTAGATCTCTGTTTGATCTCGGACAGACATGCCTCCATTGAAAGTGCCTATAATAATCCGGCAAATGGTTGGCATGACCCTCCTTCTACGCATGTCTATTGCGTCAGGCATATCGTCCAGAATTTCTCGAGGGAGGTCAAGGACAAAACATTGAGGAAAGCGGTGATGAATGCGGGATACGCACTGACACAGCCCACATTCAAATATTACCGCAACGAGATCCGTTTGTCTAACCCAGAAGCCGGTACGTGGATCGACAATATACCGGTCGAAAAGTGGACTAGGTCATACGACAATGGCCAAAGATGGGGGCATATGACAACAAATCTTATTGAATCAATGAATGGGGTATTCAAGGGCATACGAAACCTCCCCATCACTGCCTTGGTGAAATCCACGTATTTTAGGATGGCTGCGTTATTTGCCAAAAGAGGTGAAATGTGGTATGCGGTCTTGCAATCAGAACAACTATGGAGTGAAAGCTGTATGAAATACATTAAGGCTGAAAGTGCTAAAGCCAACACTCACATGGTTACACGGTTTGACCGCCATAGCCACAACTTCATTGTGAAAGAGACAATTGACCACAATGAAGGCCTGGCAAGACAAGAATACAGGGTCATTTTACCTTCTCAATGGTGCGATTGTGGCAGGTTTCAAGCTTTTCGTATGCCTTGCTCTCATGTCATTGCCGCTTGTGCTCATACCCATCAAGACGCGCTTCAACTGCTCTCAAACGTTTATAAATCTGAAACGTTGCTCACTGTTTACAACAACAACTTTCCTTTGGTGGCAAAACCGGACTATTGGCCTGAATACAACGGTGATATAGTTTGGCACAATGACCAAATGCGAAGGAACAAGAAGGGTCGTCCCAAAAGCAGGCGCATAACAACAGAAATGGACGATATTGACAGGTTGGAAAGAAAGTGTGGTTTATGCCGTCAGGTCGGACACAATCGCAAAAACTGTCCGAATCGGGCGTCTGGCTCGACCACATAAATT